CTCATTGCACTGCTGATGAAGGAATTATTGATGTCTTAAAACGTCCGACAATATGAAGGGTGTTGGAATTTAGAACACTACTTCGGATTGTATTGGAATTGAGTGGTGAATCGCTCTGCAGAAACAATCGAAAGCTGATCGAGATCACGGGGTACGTTTTTTAAAAATAATTTCCGGTTTGTTGCTTTTCTTAAATAATTTAGTTGATGCATTTGAGGGCTTGGAATTCTGCCTTCACGTTGATTTATCAATGTCTTCTGATCGTGTTGCTGCCGATGCTGCTGAACTACTCTTGCGCCTTTAAATTTTTGGATTCAGCCAACTATCTTGTAGTGATCAGCTACAGAAGATGGAAGAAGTGCTCAATAAACTAGTTTATCAAGGTGTTCCAGTGCTCGAGCTACTCCCCGAAGAAAGCGAGGAGGACTTGAGAGTTAGATCATTTACAGAGCTATTCAAGAAACTTCCCTTCCATGAGCATGATCTTTTCCTTTCCAAAGTTGTAAAGAAATTCAAGCGCGAAAGGCAATTTGGTGAGCTGATTTCTTGGTCCTGTACTCAACTAGATTCCAATGAACAACACGAAGTGATTGGTAAAATTGTTAACGTCACAGCTGATTATGACGAAACCAATGATGAAGATGCCATAGTCGATCGGAAGCTTTTCACAGCTGTCGAGAGATTATACCGACTATGTTCATAAGGTTCTTGCCCCCTGCATGGAAGAACATAGAAAGAAACGAAAAGATAAACAGAAGATAGCCGAAGAGAAAACTAGTTAGGATTGGCAATCCCATTTTGCTGAGTTTTACTTGGGTTTCTCAATTGTTTGGTTCAAGGGACAAAGCGTGGATAATCAGAGATGGTTGATAGAACATCCAAACTCTAGTAGATCAGTTAAAGGAACTGTTAGTAGAATAATTGATCAGATACTCCGCGGCGATAGTGAGGAGGATTTCAGACTCAGAAAATTCTCAGAGCTTCTGTGTACTAAAGCACTTCCCTTTGGTATTCAAGCGCGTTTGGTTGACACTGTCGAAAAGGAACTGCATGAACGAACATCTCTTCCTTGTGGGACAAACCTTAGAACAGAAGTTTCTGGCCATGCTGCTAGTGAACTAATATCTCATCTCTTAACTTTTGGATTTAACCTACCATCCGCCACTGATCAACAACAGAAAATTGAAGAAATCTCCCGTAAAGCTGGTGGAAAGGTTGAGATTATCGAAAGACTTGCGGAAGAAAGTGAGAAGGATTTCAGAATTAGAACGTTCACAAGCCAAGTTCACAAAGTTACGTTCTTTACTCTAGCTGATTTGCTCTTCGAAGTTTCAAACAAATATTTCTGTGAAAGAAAGTTGCATGACTTGACTCTTTTGTTCGAGCAACTAGGCTCCAACGATCGGAAAAATCTGATAGAACAACTGTTTGATTGGTTAATGGAAACTTACTATTCAAGCAAATATATCAAAGGTGTCATAATGGAGAAATTCTCCAACGGAAGTGAGGAGGATTTCAGACTCAGAAGATTTATAAAGTTCTGTATTACGCATCCTTCCCTTTGGGATCGCAACGAAGTTGCGAAGTGGGATCTCACAAGTATGCTGCAAACATCCTGTAATAGAGAGAGGAAGCAAATAAAACATGACGGTATGTCAGTATCACACAATAATTTCTCCTCACGATATGCTGAATTTTACCTTGGTTTGTCGATTATTTGGTTCAAGACACGGTGCATCAACGAACAAAGAAACCCCATTCAAGTACTTCTCGGAGAAGCTGAAGAAGGTGACACAATACAGAAACTTCGCGGTGAGAATGAGGAGGATTTCAGACTCCGAAGATTCATCAAGTCGTTTAAACAACTTCACGTCAGCTCCCAAGAGTATATCGTTAAATATATTCTGAAAACGTTACTGGATAATATCCTTGAATATTGCAAATTCGTTCCAAGTGCTGAGGCGGCATACAAGTCTACCTACCTGGTTTGAAGAAGCTCTTCCCTTTGTTCATGAATTCATGAAGGTCAAAACTCCAAATCTATGGGGAGGAGGAGGAGGAGCAACCGCTCAAGGAGGCGGAGCAACCGCAATTACACAAGGAAGTCAGGGGACAAGTCAACAGTCGGGTCGATGATTTGCAACAATGCACGAGTAAAGAAATCTTCAAACCATAGAACTACATAAAAATTAAGGCAAACTTTACTACTGCACCAAATTCCAACACATGCAGTTGCTTCAAGCTGATTTTACAATTTACATGTACCTTGGCTTTGTATCTGTTTACTGCTCTAATGAAATTAGTTTCACTATAAAAATGGTTCCTCCTTAGCAAAGTCCTAATTGCTTAATTAATGTTTTTATTAATATGATTAAAAAAAATCTTAGTAAAGCTTGCAGTATAACCCCAGTATATTACCTCTTTTCTTCACTCACATCGAACCCTTCCTCCTTGTCCTAAACATGGATTTATGAGGTACTACTAGGCCCAAACCCCATTACCAACTAATTAATTATAGGGTAAATTACACTTTCATACTTCATGTTTGGGGTCTATTTCAATTCCTTACAACATCTTTAAAACATTTCACTTTCATACCTTAAGTACTATTTTATTTCAAAATAATACCTCCGTTACATTTTCCATCCATTGATCTGTTAAATGCTGACGTGGTTGCCACATATATGCCACGTGGCTGCCAAATGTCTGCCACGTGGCAAATAATTTTTTTTAAAATTTTTGTTAAAAAACCTGAATTTTCTCAAAAAAAGAAAAAGAAAAAAAATAAATAAATGAAACCCACTTACCCCCCCCCCCCAAGCGACCCACATCCCTATCCCTAACCCAAAACCCAAAAAACCTGCTGCAACAAGAAGAAGAAGAAGAAGAGGGAGGAAGAAGAAGGGAAAAAAAAAAAAAAAAACTTGCAGTAGCAGCAACAGGAGGAAGAAGAAGAAGGAAAAAAAAAAACCCCAAACCCAGTTCGTCCCCGCTCTCCCCCCGCCCCCCTCCCCTCCAGCCGCCCTCGACGCCGTGCGACCTTCCTCCCTTCCTCGCCCCCCTCGGGTCAGGATCTTGTGATTTTCAGTATGGGTGGGTTTTGAAAATACTTTAAGTTTGAGACGATTTTTGGACTGGTTTTGTGGTAGATCCACCTAATCTTGGGTGGAATTTTTGTGGGTGATGGGGGATGGGAGAAAGGGGTGGCTCGGGTGGGACGAACTGGGGCTTTTTTTTTTTTTTTTTCTTCCTCCTCCTCTTCTTCTTCTTCTTCTTGCAGGTTTTTGGGTTCTGGGTTAGGGTCGTTGGGGAAGGGGGCGGGGGAAGGCACTGGTTTCAATTTTTTTTACTTTTTTTGAGAAAATTCAAGTTTAAAAAAAAAATTGTAATATTTTATTTGCCACGTGATAGACATTTGGCAACCATGTGTCGTATATTTGGCAGCCACATTAGCATTTAACAGATCAATGGATGAAAATGTAACGGAGATATTATTTTGAAATAAAATAGTAATTAAGTATGAAAGTGAAATGTTTTAAAGATGTTGTAAAGAATTGAAATAGACTCCAAATCTGAGGTATGAAACTGTAATTTACCCTTAATTATACAACACTTGCTACTTAAAGCAAAAATATAATAGGTAAGACCTGATACAAGTAATAATGTCATCGAGTTGCAACTCCAAAGACCCAAATTAGACAGCAAAAGTTATTGAAGAGAGTCATGTTAGCAACAGTCTCGTGTAGTCATGTGTGAGTGCGTGACGAAATGTCAACTACAAATGTGCTTACATGATTCAATAGTTGGCAGTTAGCACCGAAGCTTAATGAACCACTAAAGTAAGCATGTTTTAATTGCGTCATGCAAAAATTACGCGTCCACACAAGACTAACACTAGCAGTATACTGTCACCAGTCACACCATGTTTTATTTACAAGAAAAACAAAGAAGAACAATTTACCTACAGACTTAATTTGATCTTATCCGTACATCCAAATGTAGGTGGAATCATACCATGCAGTGGTTAAACTAATCAATATGTATTACTGTGTAAACATATCACCAACTGCACAAAATTTAAAAGAAAGGTAAATTGGCAGCTATATCATCCCATATTATTATTTTGAGTAATGAGTAACATCCAATTTCCTCTCATAGATACCAGCCACGACATGGCCCAACATGCTTCCCATTACATTATTGTTCATCTCAAATTGATTAATTTGGAACGAAAATTTAATGTCTTTTTCACAATATTCAGTCATTCACACAAATTTCTTTAGAAAAAATGCGACCTACTTTAGCAACAACGTAAGCTACATATGTTTTATTTTTTATTTTGGTTTCCTGCTAAACATTATAATGTTGACCTATACTGCCTTGGTTAGTAAATTAGTTATTTGAAAATAGAACTTATTTCTGTACCAAACATACAAGATCTGTTCTCGAAACATCCAACCATTCACAAACAACGTACTTGTGGAAAAAAAATTAGTATGACACCAGGGCGCATACATTTTCGTTCACATACTACGTATATTTGATTCAAAATTGGTATAATAACCAGCATATACATAATTTTCATTAACGTACGACATATTTGTGACCCAAAATTAGAATACTAATTAGCATATGCAAAGCTGTCATTCAAGTACGACGTATGTATGAACTAGTATTAGTATACTAATCAGCGCATACTAACTTTCATTCACGATCGACGTACGTATGAACCAAAATTAATATAATAATTGACAAGTACAATGCTTTCATTAATATAAACCATGTGTACAAACTATAACTAATAACAAATCGCACATACAAAACTTTTATTAACGTTCGTGGTACATACAATCATCAATTAGAATAATCACAGCACATACAAAGCTTTCGTTCACGTACAACGTACCCAAAAACCAAAATGGTATGCCAGTATATAATTATTTCTGAAATTTACATTATGGCAGGCGCACACCCCTAAACTTCCATTTTTCCTCGAAATTTCCATGAGTAAAACACCGGCCCCAAGTCTTATCCAACGAAACCGAAAACAGAAAGAAACGGGGCTGGACCCACAAAAAATCGCCTCCTTGTCGACGCGGCAACCTGAAACCCAACCCCACGCGACGGCCCCGCAGCGAATCGAAGCTCCCGAAATTTAATTATTTAATTTTTTTTCCCAAAAATGCGGGAGAGGTTTGCTAAGTTTTCCCTCGCATTTCTCGCACAGCATTTAAATTGACACATAATTTTTCCATTTATATGATTTTCGGGTGTTAATTTTTCGACTATATAATTTGGTTTTTAATTCTCCCAAAAACCCACTTTCTTGGACTCTGTCTTTATCGCTTCCTTTCTCTCTCTCTAGCTTTCTCTCTCTAACTATCTTTGAGCAAAATGCAAATAGCAGCAGAAGTAGTACTGGGGGTGTCACCAATGGAGGGAGAGGAAAGCGTGTTCATCGACCTGTACACGAAAGACCCTGCTGAAAACACAGGAAGCGGCGGCGAGGGGAAGGGAGCTGCGGCGGGGAAGGCCAGCTCCGCCTTCAAATTCGACCCCAGCATTCTGATTGACCCGAGCTGCATCAAGATTGGTTCTGTGCTCGGAGAAGGGCGTGGAGCTATTGTTTATGAGGGATTGTGGGTCCCGTTAACACTTTTCTTCTCTGTATCTGTTTGCTTTGTGTTATTTTTATCCTTGGGTTTTGCTTCTTGATTTAGGTTGCTCACATTGTTTGTATGTTCTTGAATTGTGGTGCTTTTTTCAGGTGCTGGTTTGTTTGAGTTGGTGTTTTTGCTTTGCTTTGGTGTTTGAGTTGTGTTAGTCTTCAAAATCGGGGTTTATTTTTCCGTTAAACCCTTTTGAGGGTTTATGGCGGCAAGTGTTGATTTTTATTCCACTGAACACTATCTATATCAGGATTTCTTTTTCCATCCATGGCAAAGGATCAAACTTGGAAAATTTTCCGGCTTAGTGAGTGTGGGAAGAGCCCTTTAAAAAAAATTCATTTTTGCAGGTGAGCCAGATGCCGAGTACTACCTCTGCCAAGTTCCTCTTTCTAGGCGATCTTGGAGTTGTGGTTCTCATAATTGATAAACCCTTTTCAGGTGGAAAGTGAATCTAGGTTTTGGAGTTGAAGTCTCTGCCATTGGTACATTTGTCGTATAATGTTAATGTGGAATCATTTTGAATCTTCATTAAATTTTGAACTGGAGGGTTACTTCAGGGAGTAATCTGATATCAATGTTTGTTAGATTTTGATTACGGTCTTTACTAGGAGAACACATATAAAGTATAGCATTGATGATAATCGTTACTGAGAGAGATCATCGGCTTTAACTGCTTTCGATAAATGCTCCAAAGTTGATCTGATCACTCTGGATTTGGAAGTACATTTATTATTAAGCTTAGAAGGGATAAATTTTCGTAAATGTAGATTCAACTGATCGCGATTGTGAATGCTTCAAAATGGGATGTTGACATTCTGCATTTGGAGTCTATTCATTTGTTAGCTTAAGAGGGTTTACGGTTTAGGATGAATAGAAAATTTCATTATGATAGGTTCGGTTTAGTTGTAATTGCAATAGCAGGCGAGTCCTCCCATATTTGTCTGCAAGACATCAGGCTGTCGCGACTAGTGGTCTCATGTAAGATGAGTTCTTTAATGAATTACTCTAGCGATAGTACATTAGATAGGGAGATACGTAATTATGTGTGGTAGGTTGCAAATGGGAAATCATTGGTTATATATGGCAGGTATTCTCCCATTTTTAATTTGGAGGCACTGCCCTCTTTTTGTTTCAGTAGCCTGGGGATTGGGAGATGGGGTGGTGAGGGGGGTCCTAGAAGCCATTGGTTCGATTGTCCCTTCAATCATTTAGATCATCCACATTGTTCCTTTACTCCTCTGGATCGTATAACTTTTTTTCATTTAATTCTTTGGATCACCTGATTACTAGGGTACACCTAAGCATATACAGTGGAACTGTTTAAGCATAGATCCTTTTTTGTATTTTTCTTTCTCACATTTGAACTCCTCTCAGGATAAAAACGTTTTCTTACCCCTTCACGAGCTATCATCGTTAATAATCAGTTAAGGAGACCAGATTACTGTTGGATTTTTAAGTTTAGATATAAAAATTAGTAAAGAAATCGACAGTTTTAGGCAGGTCAAGGACAGATAGAATTATAGTCTGATATTTGGACTTTGGTGATGTGATATCAGTTGAGACCAGATTATTCTTTACAGTATCAGATTTAGATATAAAGACATGTTAGAGAATCAACAGGTTTAGGGAAAGTCTTCTGAACAGGTGGAAAATGAGAGATGGTCGAAGAGAATTGGGATGTGTAGTGTTTGCAAGGTTAGTGTAATTTATGCACGAAAAGACAATTTATAAATATAGCCTGTCAGGGTAATTATTTTGAATCATAGAAGTGAAGTTGCCCTGCGTTGATCGGAATGTAAAAGTTCTTGGCCAGGCCTTTTCAAAGATTCATTGACATAGTTTGTTTCCTAGTTATCCTATTTATTATACCTGAAGGTTAATTCCTGGGCAAGCAAGCAGTCCGGCGTAGATGTCATTTACAGAAACTTTATCCCTTTGTTGCCATGCATGAAAAGCATTAATGATCAATGGCAACATTAGATGTTTGTGGCGGGGTTAATTTTGTGAAATCTATTAATATGAGATGACATCTTACTTGTATGCTAAATGTAATAAATCGATCATATGTTCTTTTTGTGTATGTAAGTCATAATCTATGTGTTGTTCTATGCTGAGGAATTTTATGTCCTGGATTTTAGACTGCTGAAGCTTTCAAAATTATGTTTCTAGGTACCAATCCAAGCCTGTTGCTGTAAAAATTATACGGCCACCCAAAACAAAATATGTTAGTCTTGATCGTCAAGAAAAGTTTCACCGGGAAGTATCAATGCTTTCGAAGGTGAAACATGACAATATTGTCAAGGTATGGTGCCCATTCCTCTTATTTCTTCTTAGGCCTGCATTGTTTATTAATATATTATCTACCCTCGTCATTTCTGGGAAATCATTCTCCCTTTGCAAGGGACTTTTCTTTTGTATGGTATGAGTTCTATACTATTCTTAGCTTTGGTTTCAAGAAATATATTTCTTCAATATTTATATCCAGGTCAGATGAAATTGTGGCCTGAGGAAATGAAATCACTGCGTTTCTGTTCCTAAATTAGCATTCAATTTACGATCCTGTTAACTTCAGCAAGCTGGTTGCACAAGTAATTTAAACTATGATGGATGTAGCTCCATTTAATGAATAAGATTTTAAGTTTTTGGTTTTTATATCTTTCAGTTTTACTATCCTTCACCCTCTAAATATATCTAGATTTGTATCAGCGTAACGTATTCAATCAGTTTACAATACTCATTTTTCTGATGTGTGTATTTTCATGGTCAATGCCCCTAGTGCATATACTCATAAAAATCAATGCTCTGAAATAGTTCGTAGGCGCATGCTTTGAACCTTCGATGATAATTCTTACTGAGCTTCTGAGAGGAGGTAACCTCCAGAAGTACCTATGGGAACGGCGCCCCAGAACACCTGATCTCAAGTGTTCAATAAGTTTTGCAATGGATGTCTGTCGAGCTATGGAATACTTGCATGCAAATGGCATCATCCACCGTGACCTGAAACCAGGTTATTTTTCATTTTCCTTGTACTTCCCTTTTGTTCTAGTTGTTTTAGTTTACTTTGAAAAGAGGACCAACTGATCAGGCGTTTCGCTTGGCTACATGTCCCACTTATAAGTTATAACTGTAAATGAGTTCATTTGTTGATCCACAAAAACATTTACTCATTTTTAGTTTTGAACATTTGCTAGAAATGCATTGGTAAATTCGTCGTGCTTTCTTTTGCTTTTGCATACTCATCTCAGTTCTAATTCTTGAACGTTAGGGTTGAAACATCATTTACCAGAGGAATTTAGTTCTAACTGATACTCTTCTTCTTTCCCCAGCCAACCTGCTTCTTACAGAAGACCTGAACATGATAAAGGTGGCTGACTTCGGCCACGCTAGAGAAGAAATATCCGGGGCCATGACCTCGGAGGCGGGCACTTACAGATGGATGGCTCCCGAGGTGCACTTTTTTTTGTTGTTCTTCCTTCATTATTCATGCATATACTGCAAAATATATTTACACACACACACGTAGTCGCACACACATACGTATATTCATAATATGGCTAATTTTATTTTTCTTATTATCTGAATAGCTATTCAGCACAGAGCCAGTTCCGAAAGGATCAAAGAAGGAATACAATCACAAGGCTGACGTGTACAGCTTCTCGATAGTTCTATGGGAACTGATCATAAACCAAACTCCTTTCTCCGGACGGACTAATATAATAGTTGCATATGCAGCAGCGAACGTAAGTCCTACGAATGACATTCAAACAGAAACGGATAGAACAGAAACCCGAAAATCTATCGAATAGCTATTGAAAGTCCTTGAATGCTTCATATCTATTATCTTTTAAATTTTTGTTGACTTCTATTTTATGGTGCTTGATTGTTTTGAGCTGCCTTGAGATGACTAACAACATTGTATGCTAGCTGACGTTTTGGATTGAAATTTTTTTGAGTTTGAGTTTGATTTTGCTGGGGATGGACTGAGTGTAACATGAAAAAACTATTTTCTGAAGTTAAATGACTGTTGGTGGATGACTTCCCTTCGTGCTTTCAGAAAATACGGCCAGAGCTGGACGACATTCCTCAAGATCTTATTCCACTCCTGGAGTCCTGTTGGGCCGACGACCCAAAGATCCGACCTGAGTTCATGGAGATCACAAGCCATCTTTCCAACTACCACAAACAACTGTGTGCGGCTGAGTTGGAACCTCCAGCAGTCAATGTGCCGGAATCTGAACCTCAAGACAGCAACTTGAAGGAAGAAGAGCCTCCCAGAGTCCATGCGAATGACAAGTCCGAAGAGAAAAAGAAAGTTAAAAGGCGAAAGACGTGCAGATCAAGTTTCTTCTTCTTTTGCTGTCGACCTGTAGCAGTGCATGAGTAATCGGTTATTTGCTAAAGTTTTGTAGGATACACAGTAGAACCACAGGTATATTGATTAGGGTAGACACAGCCAGGGATTCTGAGCTGAACTGTTGTTCTGTAACTTGTGTTACAAGCAACTGTACAGATACATCGTGGTAGGAACCCCGTAGAATATTATTAGATAGAGAGTAGGATACAAAGCTTTGAAAGAAACAAAAAAGAAGTTTGTAGTTGTTTTGGCAGTCGGATATTTCTCCAAAGCTGGCTTGCTTCTCAAGCAATCTCAGATTTTGGTAATGAATTGTTAATGTGATCAGTCACAGTGACTCTTTTTTTCTGATGGTTGAATTGCTGGTTCTGATGAAATTACTTCACTTTCTTGTCGGTGTACAAATTTTGGGTGGAAAGTAGGGTTTCAGATAAGGATTTTGCTGCCCTTTTTCTTGTGGGCGGCTTAGTGGTGTTATCTTATATGTTGACTAACTCATCACAGATTCACATCATTGCGAATTTTGTAAAGACCTATTTTGGGTGTCCAAATGACTTAAGAGTTCAAAATGTTTTCAGAAGTAGACTTTATACGGTAAAGAAGATACACAAGCGTTTGCACGTATTTAGTGTTTGTGCATGATACGAACATGGTAGATAAAATATCATGTATGGTATGAAAATAGAAAGATAGAGTATCGTGCATGGTATGTATTGTATGGAAGTAGAAATATAGAGTATCGTGAATGGTACGAAAAAAAAAAAAGAAAAAAAGAAAGTGTCAAATTCGTAATTAGAATGTTATCCTAATAGGCTAATACACACCGTGTGGCATGCTAAAATGTTGAGGATGGATTAAATTGCAAGTTACTGCTCTTAACCCTAGTTCCAGACCCAGAAGTGGCTTTGAATTCAAGAATCCAACTCAAAATCCAAACTGGGGGGCCATTTTGAAACCGACCCAACAATTGAATTCAGAAAACGTGTGCGTTGGAAGTAGAAAGTCCTAACACTTGTTATAATTTGATTGAATTCAATACAATACAATACATCGTTATATTATATGCTATGCGTAGGAATAAATATCGATCATTTTTATGTTTACGCATTTATAATTGTGTCATGTTCATATATGAACACGAGTTGATCAACACATATTTCAATCCAACAATACGATAATCATATTTTACACAAAAAAATTGAGAAGTTATTAGTCAAACAATTGTAATCAAGTTATGACAGCTCTTAGATCTTATATTCGTGAAGTTTTGAGTCATATAAGATGTCAATTACTGTTTGAAATACAAAAATGCGCCAACAATTTTTCAAAAAAAAAAAAAAAAAAAAAAGGAATTTCCTAACATCCTCTACTCTTTGAAATTTTTGGCCTCACATGTAAGTTTTATTTATGTGAACAACTGGCTTCTTAAGATCGAGCATGAGTTTCTTCTCAAGATACTTCATGAGCAATTCATCAAATTTGATACTTATGATCAAATTGTTCATATTTTAAAATTACTATGTAAAGATAAGCTCTGCAAAAAGTTAATAAAATATGAGATCTTTGAGTCATCAAATTGTATAAAAATAGAGAGAATAATTCGGTAAAAGAATTACGAACCGTGTATCTATTTTCTGCAGTTGATTGACTAAACCGTCTTATTTTCAATTAATTTTTTGCAGAAATGATATTTACATAATGATTTATCATAAGAACGGTTTTGATCATAAGTTCTGTGAACCAGTCACAAAAAATCTTGAGAAAAAAGCCAAGTTTTATTTATCCAGTACATCATGTAATAATAATTTTTTGGCAAGTAAAGAGAGGAAAATAAAATTGAGAAAGTGCGTCATAAGTATTTGGTCTTATTATTTCACACTTTTTAAGTTTGAGGTGATTTTCAAAACAGGTCATGAGATTCTAAATTTTGTCAATTTAATAAATTAACAAAAAATCAATTCATATGAAAACATGAATTGAAATCATTCCAACATGTTGCAGTCATATTTAGAATATGAATGTGATTATGTAAATCCTAGTGTATCTAGGGATATCTTGGAATATTCCTTTAGTAGTTATTATTCTATTAGAGTTGTAATCATGTTAGGATAAGGATTTAACGTATCATACTACTATAAATAAAGGCACAATGGGGTGATACAACACACATCTCACAATTAAATCTCTCTCTTCTCTTTCTTGCCTCCAGCCTCTTTCCTTCTTTAGTCCTAAAAATAGTTCAATCAAATAGGCTTATGACACGTTATCAGCATGATCTTACCAGAAGTTAAGGAACTGAAGGATCGTAGGAGGAGGCTTTCTTCTACAAAATTTAAAGGTTTTTACTTGTTTTTTGCTAATCAGGTACGCTTAAAATAAAGTAAGATATTTGAAACGTCCACGAAGCATGAGAGCATTCCCCATGATGCATAAACCCCTATATTTATATTTTCATTCCGATATATAAATAAATTAGAAGCAATTTAGTGTTCTTAAAACCCTGGAAAAGTCAAAAAAAAAAACTGGGAATTATACGGCATGGTTGTGGCTCGATGCCATGCCACCGTAGGCACCATTGTCGACCACTGCAGCTGGCCTGTAGCCCATCCATATAAAGCAAAAATGGGAATGGCGTCATTTGACATCTTGGACCACACGGCAGCAGCCCTTTAGGCTTTACTGCCCACATAAGACAACCCAAGGCAAGGGTACTCACGGGTCTGCAGCCCCAGCCCAACTCGAGAAGGCCTAAAGCTTTCTTGGACCTATCTTATGCATCCTTGGCCTAACATCAGTAGCCCAGAGCTGCTGGACCTTTTATCCCGTGCCTAGGCCTGCCGGCAACAAACCTGTTCTTGTTGGGCTTCGCCTATGCCTTGGCCCAACTCGCCAGCAACCTTTGCGCTGCTGGGCTTGACTTGCCCCAGCCTAAAAACCCAAAACCCAGCCTCGGTTGGGCTTCCATGCACCAACATGTAGGCTAGCACACGCTCGGCCTGCACATGTGCCTTGTTTTTTGCCCAAACTAGCAGCACTTGCTGCTAAGCTCACCCATACCACACGACCCAGAGGCCTGCAGCCCTCCCGAGGCCCAATAACCTACAGCCGAACTACACGGCTTGTCCTCGCGTCCCTATTTTTTGGCTGGGCCGAGTCCTTTCTTTCGATTCAATGCCAATTTTTGCATGCCCACATTATAACTCATACCCAAATATTTTTTTTTTTTGGGTACTTTGGGTTGCACCAATTAATTCTAATTTAATTATCACTTGGTTTATCACTAACCGAAGTTAATATGACATGTCTGTCATTATTTTGCTTCCACAATCGACCCTGTTTGGTCTCGATCTATTGAATTAATTAAAAATGACATGCAGTCTATTAATTTGATAATTAATCCAAAATTATTGACCTGAAGATCACTTTTGGACATTAACGATTCAATAATTTATTTTTCTACTTTGAACCATTGACATCCTTTCATAGTCCCAAAGCTCTCACACTTGAGTTTCGAAGTAACTCAAATCCACTACACTTAAATCAGCATGTTGCATTCTATGTTCTTGCAGGAACCTCTACTTTATGAACTAATTGTTCATAAAACTAAATTGAGTCTGTAGTTTCATATTTAGTGCCTTTGAAACCCGAAGTTTTCATTTAAAACTGACCACATGAAACCTGTAGCTTTCATGTTTAAATTAAACCAATACATGTCTATAGAACCCCAATGTTCTACGATGTATTTCTATAGAAACTGCCAGAAGTGGGTTCACTCTGGAACAAGCTCGATTTATTGTACCCTACCTAGAAGTGGGTTCACTCTGCCAGAAGTGTATTTCTAACCACGTTTTATTGTACCCTTTGTTTTAGGGATATGTTGAACTTGAACAAGCTCGATTTCAATACTCTGGAAGTATCTGGAAGAAACTGCCAGAAGTGGGTTCAAGACGTGAAGCTCAATCTTACTGCAAAGGGTATTAGAGCCACCATCGAGGAACCTACTGACGCCAACCCCGTTGATAAAGCTCAGAAAGCTACTACAATGATCTTCATTCAAAGACATATCTATGATGCACTGCAGATTGAGTACCTCACTGAGGAGGACCCATACACCCTCTGACTAATCGTTTTAATCACCAGAAGACATTTACTTGCTTGAAGCAAGACACGACTGGCAGCATTTACACTTCTAAGACTTTAAATATGTGAATGAATACAACTCTGAAGTTTGTAGAATTCGATCATTGTTTAAGTTCTGTAAAGTGGACTTAACAGGTGCATATCTCCTGGAAAAGACCTATTCGACCTTCCATGGCACCAATATTGTTTTGCAGTAATAATATAAGGCACAAAAGTTCACCAAATTTTCATATTAAATCTCTATTTTACTTCTCACTGAAAAGCAGAACCAGCTTTTGATGAAAAATCATCAAGCTCAACCCATTGGCTTGAACGCTTCACCTGAAGCGCATGCGACCAATTATAGCATCCACAAATGACGAAAAAATCACCGTGGCTGTAGTAATAGGCGGCAAGCCCACCTATGGGCCCAAAGTTAATAGAGCCAAGGCCTACCAAAGGAAGGAAATTTGACCCAGAAGCACCAATCTCTTGCACTTAAGGCCCTAAACTTTAAGAACAAGGGAAAAATTACCGTTTAATCGGCTTTCACTGAAATGGATATGTGCTATCGATGTGGATCAAAGGATTATTGGTCACGCGTATGGTCGTTCAGACTCCAGATGCTAAACTAGATCCTTTCTATCCTAAGGAGGATGAGGAAGAGATTTTGGAGCCTAAAGTTCCATAACTAAGTGTAATTTGTGCTTTATTGTACTTGACTTAATGCACTAGACCTGACATCTCCTTTGCTATTAATCTTTTGGCAAGATATAGCAATGCACCTACACGCAGACACTAAAATGGTGTTAAAGACATTTTTCGTTACCTTAAGGGTATGACAGATATGGGTTTGTTCTACACCTAAGAATCCTCGAGAGGAGCCGCTGCCCCCTCGGTCATCGAGTTGATTCCCACCTTGTTGGTTACACAGATGCTAGTTATCTGTTTGACCTATATAGGGTACGTTCTCAAACGAGCTATGTCTTTACCATTGGAGACACCGCTATATCTTAGAGGTCTACCAAGCAAACGCTAGTTGCGACTCTTTCGAACCATGGTGAGATCCTCGCCCTGCATGAAGCATCGCGTGAGTGCTATTGGTTGAGAGCAGTCATGAAACATATTCGAAGCACTAGTGGTCTTACTACTGTCATTGACCTAGCTACGACGATCTTTGAAGACAATGCAGCATGTATCGAGCAAGGGATATAACGCTGAAGTTCTTTTATTCTCAATAGCAACAACAACATTAGAACATTGAAGTCAAGCAAATCCGTTCCCAGGACAACCTGGCCGATCTCTTTACTAAGTCATTGCCCAAGTCTACTTTTCAGAAGCTCGTCCAAGGAATTGGTATGCGTAAATTATTTGAGTTGAATTGCTTGTAGTTCTCTTATTTGGAAGTTATGTATAACTCAGGGGGAGTATCTTGAAGCATACTCAATTGAACTTTATGTACTATTTTTCCTAAGATTAGGAGCATTTTTCCTACTGGGTTTTTGCTACCTAACGAGGTTTTGATGAGGCACCCATCCTGGGATGATCATACTCCGTTGAGTTCACTACTTTTGTCCTGGTTGACGTTTGTTTTAGACATTATGCATACTTCTCACTTTTCTCTTTAGTCTATGAGTTTTCACTTGCCTTAGGTTTTCCATAATGAAGTTTTGTGAGTTTTACTACCGATGCATACTTTCTTTATATTAGAGACTCGCATTTGCCTGTTGTGCCGACGACTTCATTAACTGTTCTACCTTAACTGCTAAAGATCTAATACGATGTTTTGACTTCATTAACTGTTCTACCTTAACTGCTAAAGATCTAATACGATGTTTTGTTTGAGTTTTTCCACACCCAAGAGGGAATGTTGCAGTTATATTTAGAATAGGAATGTGATTGTGTAAATCCTAGTGTATCTAGAGATTTCTTGAAATATTCTCTCTAGTAGTTATTATCCTATTAGAGTATGGCTACAACGCGTATTTGCTATTAGCTTATTTATTTATTAAATCTCTCTCTTCACTCTCTTGCCACCGGTCTTTCTCTCTCATATTCAGTCAAATAAACTTGCAACACAACATTTATAGTACAAAATAAAAAAAATGAAAATTCATGATCTATTTTTAAAATTACACTCTGAAATGCAGTTAATTCGGAAGTATTGTTCACCTAAAAATAAATAAATAAATAATAAATTTTCAATTTTAAGCTGACGTGGTCGCCAATCAAGGAGAGTTAGTAGAAGAAACCGGATGGAAGGAGAGGAGATTAGAGATAAGAAGAAGATAAATTAATAAAATATAAGTAACAAAATAAAATAATAATTAAGATTAAAATAATAAAAAACGTAGTTGTCAGGATGAGTCATCGTGGCTTCTGCACCGTCACGATCTAATCCCGTGAAACGTGGACAGCTGGACGCCTCTTCCTCGCAGCGTGTCTCCCCCGCCAAACCCTAACCCCCTCTTCGGTACACCTCCACCACACTGGATCTCGCACCCACACAACATATCATGTCACTCCCCCAGACCAAAACTCAACTCACCGTCCCAACTAAACAACGACAAACTGAAAGCCCAGGAGGCAGCAGCCAACGGACACGCACACACAGCTCCCTCTCTCTCCTCTCTCCACTCTCTCTCTCTCTCTCTCTCTCTCTCTGTGTGGACGCACTTGCACTTGTCTTTTCAGAGTTTTGGGGTGTAAATTCCAAATCCAAAACCCTAGATTCCTAATTTCATAGCCGTTGATCTTAAATAAAGTGCAGTTCCACCTGGACTTCCACCTCACTCTCTCTAAACGCCATGAAAGCAGGTCTCTCTCTCTCTCTCTCTCTCTCTCTCTCTCTCAAGCTCCTTTCTCTCTTCTTATATAATTCTCTCGCATCACGCGTCTCCTGGCCTGATTTATCTTTAATTGCCTTTGGATTTCGTGTTTGTATTCCACAATTTGTGCCAAAAATCTCAGCTTTATTTGAATTCTGTGTTGTTTGCATGAGCCAATCTGTTGCTGCTGCTAATTTATTACTGTCAGCCTTTAATTGTAATTGAAATTTTGAATTTTGAGCTTTGAGGTAGGAAAATTAGTTAAATTTGGATAAAGGGTAGGTTTAATTTAATCCACTGTCGGGTAAATTTTGTAGCTTTGGGTTTCAAATCTGTGTGTTTGAATAGTAAATACTTGAGAATTTGAATGTGATTCTTCAACAATTGAGCAAGTAATTTTGTTTTTGATTAATTGAATTAGTAATTTTGTTGCTGCTAAATTTTAAGCATGTAATTAGTGAATCTGAGGACTGTTAATTTTGGTGTCCTTCAGGTTCTTCATAGATTATTTTGAAGAATTAAACGTGATCTGGTAAAATTAGAACTAAAAGGGGTATTTGCTGAGCAATAGAAATGGGGACAGGGGAAGAGGGTACTCCTTCTAAGCCTTCCAAACAAGCTTCGACACCTCAGGTACTTCCCCTCCCTTCCATCCTCCGTTCTCGTCCTCACTCCTTTTCCAGCTCGAGTTTTTATTATGTTTATGATGATTGTGCAGGAATTACCAACAACACCTTCATATCCCGATTGGTCCAGCTCTATGCAGGTTCATGACGAAAATACATTCTGGATCAATATGTAATTTTTTTTTTAAGTAAGCATATAGATATCATTCATATCCTGATAGACAATAAGCTTACAGCAAACTTTCTTGTTTAGGCTTATTATGGTCCTGGAGGTACTCCGCCTCCCTTTTTCGCCTCCACTGTTGCTTCCTCAACTCCACACCCCTATATGTGGGGAGCCCAGGTACATGTCTTTTACTTTTGAATGATATACTGGCATACATGTTCCTTAGGAGCGGTTGCTTTTTGTTTGTGTCTTCTATATTTTGGAAATAGGTGGACTTTAATTTTTGTTGTTTACAATTTTTCAGCATCCTATGATGCCGCCATATGGAACTCCAGTTCCATATCCGGCCATGTATCCTCCAGGTGGAGTTTATGCTCATCCCAGTATGGTGATGGTATGATGCTATTCCTCTTGCATACATATGCGTGTCATCTTCATAGATAAAAATGGACTCTGTTATTTAGGAAGATCTCAACCTGATCAGCTGATTTCTTTTATTTAATTATTCTGTAGACCCCAGGCGCACCACAACCAACCCCGGAGTTGGAAGGGAAGGGTCCTGACGGGAAAGAGCGGGCTTCAACCAAAAAACCCAAGGGAACTGCAGGAACTGCATGTTTGGCTGGTGGCAAGGTTGTGGAGAGTGGAAAAGCAACTTCAGGTTCAGGAAATGATGGCGCTTCGCAAAGGTGTGCTGATCTTTGCTTTGGATTCTTGCTTTTGACAATTTTTAGATTTTTCTCTTCTTTTTACATTTGTTCCAAAGAAGAATTTCTACCGACACTGCCTTGTTATTTGAATGTAAATTTTCTGCTTTATAGTGGTGAAAGTGGTAGTGAGGGTTCATCGGATGGAAGCGATGATAATGCTAACAATCAGGTGTGTATGTGCATTACGGCTAATTATTTATAGGTGATCTTTGTAACTATTTCAAATGGCTAACAGAGTTTGGAATCTTTCAAAACCCATCTAGAAAACTAGCATTGGCCAGTTTAAGCTTGCCAACATCTGAACATAGATAACATCTTTAGACTTTTAAACCTAACAAAATTCTTAAGATGCATTCTCTTTCTTCTAATGAAAACATACCTAATTGCTCTTTAGGAGTATGGTGCAAACAAGAAGGGAAGCTTTGACAAGATGCTTGCGGATGGTATATTAATCGTGTTCGCTCTACTGTCTGCTTATGTTCTATTTTCTAAAATGGTTTTCTCACAGTTAATCTTTTTAGGGGCAAATGCACAAAATAGCACTGGGACACTTGTTCAGGCTTCAGTGCCTGGGAAGCCAGTCTCTATGCCTGGAACTAATCTGAATATCGGAATGGACTTATGGAATGCATCCTCTGCGGGTGCTGGAGCTGCAAAAGTGAGAGGAAATCCGTCAGGTCCTCCATCAGCTGGTGGTGCTGAGCATTGGATTCAAGTAGGGATCTTTCTGTTATATTCTAAATTGTTATTTTGTACTCATTATCCATGCAAAACTGTATTGGTCTAGACTTTTGGCATGTTATGTTGGGCGTTTTTAGTTTGGTCCCGGACTGCCAATCTGGAAGCACCAATGAAGCAATCGAGTAAACTAACATGCTAGATTGTCTCTGCCAAGAGAAACCTGACTACTTGTGTGTGTGTGTGCTTGTGCGTATAAGAATGAATTTCTTTTTTTTTTCTTTGCAACTTTTATGGTTTTGTTAGTAAAACTATTACGCTTAAATTTTATTGTTCATTCAACTTTTAAATTGGATTCCATTGACATTTTGCAGGGGTGCAAGTCTCATGAATTCATTTCTTAAAAACCCTTTTGTAATAGTTTTAGCTCCTCGTAATGTTTTTTTTTTATTTTCATGATTTTGACAGGACGAACGTGAACTGAAAAGGCAGAAAAGAAAGCAATCAAATAGGGAGTCAGCTAGGAGGTCAAGATTACGGAAGCAGGTACAGATGTACTTCTCCACACTTGTTGGCAGGCATTTCGTGTTCTATATGCCTTTCTTGATATGCATCCTGTGCTACAGGAGGATGATATGTTTTAAAGAAGGATGTGCTAAGACCTGAACAAAAACAATTCATATGCCTAAATTGCTCCTCCGTTTCTTATGTTTTTCAGGCAGAGTGTGAAGAGCTACAAGCAAGGGTAGAGGCTTTGAGCAATGAGAATCATAGCCTCAGAGAAGAGCTGCACAGGCTTTCTGAGGAATGCGAGAAACTTACATCTGAGAATGCTAATATAAAGGTTTGTTTTCATACGCTTGCATTTTGTTCATTCTATACTTGTATGCCATCCATTACCCGGTTCCAGGAGAGAATCCTTGCTGATTAGAGTCCTAGCTTGATGCGTTAAAAGCAATCCAAGTTGCGCGAAAAGTTTCACTAGTCTGTTGCACGAGTGTAGTCCATCTTTTGATGAAGTATGTCTTTTTTGCTGCTATACAGGAAGAACTGACACAAGTGTGCGGACCCGATTTGGTAGCAAACCTTGAGCAGCAGCCTGGTGGTGGTGAGGGCAACAGCTGAGATGGAGTATTAGTCTTGCTTTGTAGTAACAGAGATTGATTGAGCTCGGGAAGCCACACGACCCTTCCTCGGATTGAGCTCGGGAAGCCATGACCCTTCCTCGGATTGAGCGTAGAGAAATTGTTTTCCTTACTAATTTATACACTTTAAACCCTTTTCCCTGTAACGGTAACGTTTATTGTGAAGTATGTAGCTGATGAGTTGGAACCCCGGGAGCCATGCAGATTATTGTATCATCGGGAAAAGAGTGTATAGTAGATTTACTTCCATTTGCTATTTCGAGTTTTTGAATCGAAGTGTGGCTTCGGATTCTTGTGCCCCATTTTCTCTCTTTCTATACATGCCTTGGGCTCGAGCTCGTAGGCCTTATTCTCTCTCCAATACCCAAATTTTTTTTCAAGATATTTTGCAACTCTTTTTTAACTTTAAGAGTGCTTCTATTTGGACCACATTACAAACCATCCTGACTACAACCTCTAATACAAGTAGTTCTTCGGTTCTCACCTTTAGACGCATAAAACTGATGGTTGCCTACGCTTGTTAATAGAAGTAGGACGTACTATTGTATAAGAAATTCACTCGTTTTACGGTTTTATAGAGTTTGTTAGTATGCATGACCGATTTTAGTGTGTGTAATAACGTCACTCTTATTGTTTACATTAAAAGGTCACAGTGCTACAGTTTGGATATTTTTATTTTTTCTTCTTAGTAATCTGTTGTGCTACTTCAGAGATTTCACTAATTAAAAGACAAACAAAAGATTTAGACTACCTAATTCAAGGGGTGTATTTCTCTCTCTTTCTTCCGCCGGAAAAAGAAGAATTTCAAAACTATACATGCGAAAAGCAATAACAGTTCTCCTTTTAGTAATAACACTAATCCTCGTGATCAGACTCCGAAACTGGTACTGCTCTAATCTGTTCTGATCTTCAATCGCGTTCTGCCCTGGTATATCTCAATTAGGCGCCTGGTCTGTTAAAAACAAGAAAGGGCAAACAACTGTAATCAGCAAAAATGAACTGGCGAGTTTAATGCCTCCGGAGGAGAATTTGACTTCAAGCTTGTGTGATCGATAGTAATCATTCTCACCTGAACCCAACGTCTTCGTGACCATAGCCCTAGCGTACTCAATCTCGGCTTCGTGTGCACTAAGGAGTGTGTGCTGCAATATAGAAACCAAAATACCTCAATGAGTGTACATTTCAGTATTTTAGCCACAAAGTGTAAAACAACAAACAGCACTTCCATAGCAATTCGTTTTGATCCAAACCAACAAAGTGTAAACAACTCATTAAATGGGCAGGACACACAAATGTTCCCACACGCAGTTCAGTCTGCGACACCATCAAGCTCATTTGCCCATGACATGGAAAAGTCAAATGCAATAAAGATATGATTAATCACCAAACCCTATCTTTAATACATTTTTGACTGAAGAACAACTTAAAGAAGTGAGGAATCCTAATCACCATGAATCAAGGATACTTACTTGATAATTCTAAGATATTCTCTTAATTAATATCTTAGAATTATTCCTTCCTCATCCATCTGAATGACTCACCTTGGTCAATCTGATGCCTTCATGGGTAGGGCAAACCCTAACCCTAGGTCTCCTATAAATATCTTATCTCCACCAATTTCTGGTAAGCTTTTACCATGCATTTAAGCCCTAAACACTCACTCTTTCTAGAGTTACTTAGGCACCGGAGATCCATTGGCCAACCTCCGTATCTTGTGGGCACGTGTGCACGTGTGGTTTTGCCCTTGATCAAATGTGTTGATTATTTTTGTAGGTACAATTTCATTAAGACTGAAGACGACAATTTTTTACTACCACATTTTCCTCTCTTTTGATAATAATAATTTTTTTTAGAACACATAGGTTGAGATTGATTTAGTGTTTTGGTGACTTTTTGAGATCAAAACTTCGGGCCATTTAACACTTTCTCATTTGTAAAAATAAACTCGAAATGTAAAAATGGGCAATTAACTTCTACGTGAAAGGAACTAAAAGAACTTAATTATGTACAAGGAAATGTGATCCATGGGACAATTTCAAATAATTTACGTAGCTTCACTTTTATGTTTCTTCCCAAAAAAAAAAAAAAAAAACGAGTTACAAAACGAAAACCAACGAGAACCAAACATACACCAAAACAGCAAAACTACTCCCAAACCCAACAAAACAAATTGGTCGGCCGGGATCATTACCTTAACACTTAACACATAATTACACCCCAAACCCCAATGGTTAAGAGTATAGGCTACTTAATAGATATTAGCTAGTTTTCTAGCTCGCTGCTGATGTTAATTAGCTCCTCTAATTACACCTCCATGCGGACGTGGCAACCAGGGCCCTATCGTGCCAGCAAAGCACCAACTCGGCCTGCCGTTTCGCCACGTGGAATCCCCTGACCTGGACCTTCCCCAACAAGCACTGGGCCTGAAAGTCCGCAAACTGGCTCAGCTCCACCGCCCTCATCCCCGCCCCCTGAAATACTTCCTCCACGGCGGAATCCGCCTCCCTGCCGCCTCCACTGTCGCCTGAATCTTCGGCCGCAGCAAATACGTCTCAATCTTCTTCACCACGTCGCTGGAAGCCGCCACCGACGCGTCTAGCGACTCCAGCATGATTGAGAAGAACTCGAGGCCAGAGATGAAGTTCCTCCGGAATGAAGTTGTTCCGGCATCCCCCATCCCCTCCCCGTCGACGAACACAACGACGCTTGGCGACACGCGGCGCATGTTGCCGAGAAAACCGGAGATGTTGTTCTGGGAGCTGAGACGGCGGAGGATGTATGGAGACAGAAGAACCGCCGTCTTCTCTCCGTCCATGAACTTGACGGCCTTGAACGACATCATATCGAACGTACGGAGGGGGACGAACTCGACCTGGAACCTAATCTTGAGTTCCTGAGCGAACTGGGACAGGTTCTCCCGAATCAGCCGGGTCTCGACAGCGTACTCCTCGGGCACGACGGCGGTTATGCGAAGCACCGGTGGGACCGGATTGCCATTATTTCGGCTTGCCACGTCAGCTTTCTCAGCGAGCTCTTTCATTAGGGAAGCGTACTGGCCGCCCAGGCCGATGTCGAAGTCGATGACGTGGATGAAGGCGGAGCCGTTGAGGGCTTCGAGTAGGGCCTGGTTTGTCGTGAAGTGAGAGAACATCGGGACGGGCGAAATTCCTGAAAAGCCCTTGTGGGCGCGGATCGTCTGGACGATGTCGGCCCAGGAAGTGAACTCGCGCGCCGCGGTGTCTGAGCCGTTGAGGAGGGACTGAAGAGCGTCCTTGAAATAAACTGCGGCGCGCTGGAGTGGCTTCCCAACGGGTTTCGACGGGGAGGAGGATCGCAGCCTGTGGTTCAAACGGTCTAGGATCACCTGGGCGAGTTGCAACTCTTCCGTGTCGAAACAGTCAGCGGCGCGGATTAACTCCTCGATGAAATCAAGCCCTACGTTCCAGTTGCCCGATGGATGGAAGTCGTTCGTCACATGGTCGTAACAATTCTGGGAGGAATACACTTCGGAGAGATTGATGTCGTAATCGGAGTGGACGAGCTGGGTGGGATCGAACTGCTGAGGATGCGGGTACTCCGAAATCTGAGGATCGTTTGCATTCAATTGTGGGATTGAAGTCTTGAGATTTGGGACGTTGTCGTCGTGCAATCCGAAGTCCCTCATAATTGAGTCCCAGTCCAAGTTGTGCAGGACTTGCTCGTCCTCCCACTCGAGAGGATCATGGTTCGAGTGGGACAGCACGTTGGAGATGCCCGAAATTTTGAGGGTTTTTCGGCGGAGACGGGGCTGGGGCTTTGACGGAGGTCGAGAACCGAGGTGGGCTCGTAGCCCCCTAGGCTCGAAATACCGAGGTGAAAGTTGACACTTGGGTTATTACTCTGGGGGTTGTGCTTGGGAGATTGGTTGTCGTTGTTGCTGAGTGGAGAAGAAACGGGCACTCTCATGGCGTATTTAGAAGGCCTTTTTTTTTTCTTTTTTGTGACTGGCTTATTTAGAAAGCTGTGATTTTGGTTGAGGGGAAGAGGGAATGGGAAGGGATCGAGGGGTAAGGGGGGCTTTTGGTGGTGATGATTGAAGGCTTTTTATCTTTGCGTGTGTGCATGGTGGTGGTAGTGGGATGGCAATGGCGCGCAATGGCATAATATAAGGTAAAGTTGTGTGGAAATGTCATACATGACAGACAGGGATGACGAGTGGTCAGAGGGAGGCTTTTAATCTCTTTGAAGCTTCTTGCTCAAGTCTTTGCATACAATTGCTTTTTTGAGTTTCCTGTACATGTCTTTGTTTGATTCCCAGCCTAATCATGCTTTTTGTAATTAGCTCACTTCTGGACTCTCTCCAGGCCATGCCAAAGCACTCAAACCATGCTAGGTGGATTTTTTGAAGGATCCCATAACAGTGAAGTGTGCGGTTGGCTAGCTGGTTGAAAGGGACCCGGCTTTTCTGTCTTCTCACTTCTCATACACTTTCATCCCCTCTTATTTTATGCGGTCACGGTTAAACCACGTCAACATTTTATATTGATTTTTTTATAAAGATAATAAGACAAAAAGTAATAGTAAAATAAAATGTTGACGTGGCTTAACCGTAACCGTACAAATAGGAGGGGATGGGAGTGTATGCGAAGTGGGAGGGTAGAGAAGCCAGGTCCGATTGAAAGTTTAGGTTATGGTGGTTAACTTATTTTTATGCTTGATTGTGGATCTCACTTAGGGTTTAGAGTAAAAGGATAGAGAAGACCTAGGAAAATTTAGAAGGTGACTCTAAGAAAAGACATGGAGTATATTTGGAGCTAATAGAAGACTTGGCACAAAACTAAGCGAAGTAGCGTTCTAAGGTTCATATAACCAACCCCACTTAGTGAGATAAATTTTTTTTTGTTTTTGTTGTTGTTGTTGTCGTCGTCGTCGTCGTCATTATATTGTGGAACTTGCTTGTGATAAACAATGTGGTTAATATGTATTTATAGTTTTATAAGTTTATAATTTAAGTGATAAAGAGTGTTTCAATTTCGGCTCTGGGTCTGCTGTCCCGGATTCCATGTCTCCTTGGTGTCTCTTTGTTTAGGTTGATGACACGTGTTTTACAATTTAAACCCACAAAACACTGTTACTTTTTATAAAATAAATTATAACAAATTCAAAGAAATAAGAAAACTCCCGATACCCAGAATTTTTGCGGTTGAACTTTTCACTGGTGAGGTGCATCTCTCTCTACTGAGAATTGTTCTGTTGGACGGTGATTTAGAGGTCACCGTACCGTTTCTCTCCCAGGTGCATCTCGCCCTCTTGAAAATTGCACAACATTGCTATCATGATTTGATCAGATCTGGAAAAAAAACAAACTAAAAAATAAAAGCACCGGCCGTTTAGCTCCCAATTGCAGAAACGCGTGGGCTCCGGCCACCGATCTCGCCGGTCTCTTTATTCACCAACACATCGTCATCTTCTTCTTCAGCTTGATTTTCGAATTTTTCTCCTTTGCTCTTTGCTGGGTTTGCGATGGCGAGGCGGACGAGCACAGGAGTCAAATGGCTCTCTCCATGCCTGGGATTTAGTTTTTATTTGTTTATTAATTAGTTTTATTAAAACTTAACAGTGTTAGATGTTGACATCAAGTAAGAGACACGTGTCAAAAAATTAAAAAAAAAAGACGAGACGTAGAATCCGGGACAGCAGACTTGGAGCCTTTGATTTCATATTCGGTTTAACCGATGAAATTAATAACGATATAATTCTTGAGCAACTAAGGTATCGCTTTTTAAATGAATAATGCACATCTACACAAAAAGAATGGATGTGTGATACTAATGATTCGTCTATATAATGAATTTCACTTATATTAGTATTGTTGTCTTGTAATGCATTCACATTATCTATGTTGAAAGTCAACTTAATTACTTTAAGTTAAGATTTCATTTTAAAAACAATTTGCAATAGGAGAAGTAACTAGCTCAACTCCTATAAACTCTAGTAAGTTTCCTCAAATTTTCGATGTGGTAATCTTTATAAGGAAAACAAATAAAAATGGTTTGAAAACTTTGAGTTTTAACAACAAAGCACAAAATAAAGGATAAAGTAAATAGTATTAGGATTGACCTTTTTAATGTAAAATTGTGGATTTTCATTAAAATGAACAGTACCAGGAACTTTTCGTTAAAGTTCTCATATTTATATCCTCATACGTCCTTTAAATATGATGAATTTTAAGCTTAACACATAGTCTAGAGACTAAGCGATACAATACTTACGAAGCTTGTGGCACAATGTATTTTATTAATTTCATCATGTTTCTGGCAAAGATTCATTCATGCGTGTTCCAAATACAGTTTTAATACCAGTTCTAGTCTAAATTCAGAGAGTGTCAAGTCTAGTCCGTTTTACCTTTCAATAAAGTAATTAATCAAACATCTTTTTCAAAAGCATCTTCGGTTTAAAGTTAAAAGTTAACCTATTGTAGATACAATCCCCTCAAGTCGCCTATAATGCCTCCAGTTGATTATTTCTACTCAGTTACTTATTAGACGTTTACTATCTTGTATTAGTCATATCATATAGGAATTAGAGGGACTTAAAGTCAAACTGTTGGCGTGAAAGCTCCAAAGTATTGTCCCCCCCACTCCCCACTCCCCACTCCCCACTCCCCACAACTCTTTCGAGGACGCATAAAAGCTCGTAAAAACACCACCACCCACCTTTACTTGTCTCACTTTGAAAAAGCTTAGAGAAAGAAGCCATGATTAAATCTTTGAGGGCTAACAGCCTCCAATAATGTAAGCTGCTAAACGTATCTTCCTTGACCATGCAAAGCACTTAGCAAAAGCTAATTACTATTAAAAATGCTACTTTTATCATATATTTGTACTATGTTGATGGTCCATATCTCTATTAGAGAGATGATACAAATATATGGTAAGTGTAGCATGTACTAAATATGAGTGAACTGTGAACAATGTAATTGGTATGCCTCATTTCTAAAGTGATAATACATGTCTTATAATTTAAGTAGAATAATAATATCACATAATAAAGACAGGTTCATGTAGGGATTAAGGTGGTTCCAAGACCACCTGGAGGTTGTAAAACAACCTATGAAAACCTCCAAGGACTTTTAGAATGTTTGACACAAGACTTTTTCAAGCCTACCAAGCATTTGATGTAACGCATACTAGGAATATCTCGACAACACTCAATATGTTGCATCGATATAACTCGACAGAAACTCTCAGGAGCACTCAACAGATTGCTTCGATAAATGTCAATATATGATGAAATATGTGCATAATGATTTGTCTGACTACAACATGCTCACCACATGTTCGATGCACTAAACAAATTGAAATCACACTTCGTGATCTTTTTTCGTTTAAACAATTTGAATATTCAACATTGAGATCCCTTAAAATTCAAACTCTAAATGCTCCAGTACACATAACGGTATTTCGGTAAAACGAGACACTTCTCCATGTTTAATTTCCTAAAGTAACGTTTGTACTCCGTAATTAGCTTGATTAAAGGCAACTGTAGACGTAATCTAGAAGCGCGAAGCAATGTTCACACCAGATATTGGAGAAAAAAGCTAATGGAAATCTCGTTGACGTTGGACGAGGGACCCAATAGCCAAAGGGGTCGGTCCTACAAGCAAGCACTCTAGGGTAAGTTGATTGGCCACAGGGAGGGACCCACTACTAGGGTTAGCTTTTTGTCGGGCATGCATGGCAATAATGACCATGCAACACACTGCGTAGAAACAAGGCCCACGTAGGATTGCTTTGCCAAATTGCCATTGGCGGCGACCAGAAAGAGAGAATATGTTCCTTCCAAAATTTTGCAATTGGTGGTGAATTGCACCCAACGATTGATGAAAATCCTTCCGTCCATTTACGTACCAAATAGGCAAAGAGAAAATGAAACACAAGATCTAGCGATCTACATTCTTCACTTTTTATTTGTATAATGGGGTGGTGAAATTGATAGGTGGGGTGGGACTTTATTTACAGAAAAGTTTTGGCCACCACAAAAAGATGGTTTTAGGTCTTTTTGCTACCTATAATACAAGGTATATTTCAAAGTTGATTTATAATTAACTGAATGAAGCATTTAAGTCCTAATCAACCTGATTAACACGTGTTTCTTTCCAGCCAAAAATGAAAGGGCCTGTGTTTAATTACAAAATGTTTGAGCCAATTTTTGTATTATTTTTGGCAATTAATTATAATTATGGAATGGTTTGGTGTAAACACTTACGAGGGATCCAATGCAGCAAACATTATAAATTCTTTGAATGTATGTCTGAATTTAAATGACGGATTCGAATTTTATTTTTTTAATCATACTTTATATATAAGACTTTAGAAATATGATTAAATTCACCCTCTAATCACTTGTACATTAAGGTTTTCTTATTAGTTTATAACAAAAGGTACCGAAAGTCTCTTTAACCAATTCAAATTATGAAGAAGAAAAAAGATTGAATTATAGAGTCAAATCTAAATTCTTCATTCAAAAACAAGGTCAAATGAACTTGTTTATATGGCTTTGTAGCTAAGTTACAACATTGCAAAACCCAGAAAAATAAATGGCCAAGGAAGAACACGTACGTAGCATGAGAATAACAAAAATAAAAGGAAGAGAAAACGGGATTTTTAATTGAGTAAGACAAACCAAGATGTGATTGTAGTATGTATTAACCTCTTCTTGCTGAATATTTAATTGCTTTTTATAAATTTTAAACAAGCAGAGATGTTGCAGATTGATTTGAGCTTAGATGATTTTGTTTGAGCTGTAAATAAAAATATAGCTTGTTACGGGGATCAATCTATTTTTATATACACAAAATCGCACGATTTAATTCCACTAATTTTGGAGCCAATTTAGGGTCGTATATCCTTGGGCTCAGACGACCTCTTCAAATTACTCCAACCAATTTGAGCGGTTGGACAGGTTCCTTCCCAAAACGCGTTTGCCACGCGGGCGCCCTAATTCGGGAATTCTTGCCTTCTTTAGTGTCGCTAAACGCGTTATCCAACACGCCGATGTCATCATAGTGATCGTGCGAAACACTACAAGATACAGTTAAAGGTCACCAACTAGGAATTACAGTCACTGTCATCTACTCATGCTCCAACTCAACGATAAGATCGAGGTTGCTCATTCTCCACTGCCTATAAATAAAGTCAAAGGCTTTCAAGCTCAGAACCTTCGTCAAATTCAATATCTACGATTATACAAAACCTTGAGTGATTCTT